TTCAAAGCATACTGAGCATCTTTCTCTTTGACACCATGTCTGAAATCCCACGTGATCTGTCAAATACTAATGCATGAAAATCCTAACCTCAAAAAAATCACCCGTTAGAAATACCAAGTGAAGCCAGAATACTTTCAGAGCTGGGGCGTCGGTGTCCATTCGAACGACATGGTCAATCCAGTTGAGCCGCTGTATTTTAATACGCCATATACCAGCACGGGAATGATGAGTGATTTATAGTGTGGTTTTCGTACGTCAAGAGAGGACTTTACTCCTGAATTGACTACTCAGTCCAAAGCAGTACTTGTTGGAAAGAGCGATTCTGCGTAGGATTTCCATGCTGATATTATTATCGGTGTTAATGCTGGTTCCCAAGTAAACGAAATTCTCTACTTTCTCGAAATCATAACTGTCAAAAGTGACGTGGGTGCCAAGGCGCGAATGTGCTGATTGTTTGTTTGATGACAGGAGATACTTCGTCTTGTCCTCGTTTACCACCAGACCCATTCGCTTTGCTTCCTTGTCCAACTTGGAAAAGCCAGGACAGACTTCGCGGTTTTTCTTACCGATGATGTCAGTGTCATCGGCATAAGCCAGCAATAGTACGCTCTTGTAGTAAATTGTTCCTAAGCGGTTCAGTTCTGCAGATCTTATTATCTTCTCCAACATCAGATTAAAGAAGTCACATGTAAGAGAGTCGCCCTGTCTGAAACCCCGTCTGGTGGCGAACGGCAACAGAGCAGAGCTGGTGCTATTGCTCAACGTCATTTTTCACAGGCGTATGAGTTTTGAGGGGATACCAAATTCAGACATAGCGGCATATAGGAATCTCCTTTTAGTGCCGAAAGTGGCTTTAAAGTCGACAAATAGGTGGTGAGTGCGGATCCTTTTCTCGCGGGTCTTTTCCAAGATTTGGCGTACTGTGAATATCTGGTCTATGGTAGACAATACATTCGATAAGACCTTGCAACCTATGCTTAGAAGGATGATCCCACGGTAGTTGGCACGCATGGCGGGGTCGCCTTTCTTGTGGATTAGGCAGAGCGCACTAGAATTCCAGTCGTCGGGCATGCACCTTATTACCTCCTTGCCATCGTAATTAAATAGCTCAGCTGACAGGCCGTCAGCTCAA